CTGCCCCTCGTCCCACCCCAAACCCCCCGAGCCCCCTGGTCCTGGGGGGCTGCTCGGGGGTGACGCCACTCGGGGCCTTCCCACGGCTTTACTGATGGCTTTGCCTTTTTCTCAAATAAATTCGTGTTTGCTGAGCTGAGCAGGGGAGGGGACAACCCCGGAGTGATGGGGACAATCCCTGGGTGATGGGGACAACCCCGGAGTGATGGGGACAACCCCGGAGTGATGGGGACAATCCCTGGGTGATGGGGACAACCCCTGGGTGATGGGGACAACCCCGGAGTGATGGGGACAACCCCTGGGTGATGGGGACAATCCCTCAGTGATGGAGACAACCCCGGAGTGATGGGGACAACCCCGGAGTGATGGGGACAATCCCGGAGTGATGGGGACAACCCCTGGGTGATGGGGACAATCCCTGGGTGATGGGGACAATCCCTCAGTGATGGAGACAACCCCTGGGTGATGGGGACAATCCCTCAATGATGGGGACAACCCCTGGGTGTCAGGGACAATCCCCGGTGGCAGAGGGACAATCCCAGGGGACAGCAGCACCTGGGCAGCACCTGGGGCCCACCCAGCCCCAGCCCCTCGGGGACAGGGGGTGACACAGGCCGAGTGTCCCTCAGAGCATTGTCACAGGTGCTTTGGCAACCCGGGCTCAGATTTACAGAAACGGGGCTGGTGGCAGAAAACCCGCGACTGTGGGACTCCAGGAACAAACCCAGCTCCTAAACCCAGCTCCTAAACCCAGCTGAGCTAAACCGAGCTGAGCTAAACTGGGCTCCCAAACCCAGCTCCTAAACCCAGCTCCTAAACCCAGCTGAGCTAAACCGAGCTGAGCTAAACTGGGCTCCCAAACCCAGCTCCCAAACCCAGCTCCTAAACCGAGCTGAGCTCCCAAGCCCAGCTCCCAAACCCAGCTCCCAAACCCAGCTCCTAAACCGAGCTGAGCTAAACTGAGCTGAGCTAAACTGAGCTCCCAAACCGAGCTCCTAAACCCAGCTCCTAAACCCAGCTCCCAAACCGAGCTCCTAAACCGAGCTGAGCTAAACTGGGCTCCCAAACCGAGCTCCCAAACCGAGCCGAGCTCCCAAGCCCAGCTCCCAAACAAAGCTTCCGTCTCTGCCAGCTCGGCTCCGTAACTAAACCTGAGACAAACCCGAATTAAATTTCTGCACTAAATCTGCCCGGGTTGGGGTTTTGTCCCTCCCCGCAGTTTCCCTTTGTGCTGCTCTGCCCCAGGAACCCTTTTTTTGTCCGAGGAGCTTTTCCCAAATCCTGGCGAGCTCCGGAACAAAGGGAAGGCGAGGGGCCCTGCGAGGGGGGCACGGCCACACCCGCGCTCGCCAGGCCCCAAAATCCCCGGGATTTCTGGAATTCGGCGGGACCCCGCTGGGACGGGAAATAATCCCGGCTTTTGTGCGGAGCCGCGGGGTCGGGGATGAATATTTAACAGGCGGGCGGCGTCGGAAATCTGAACACCTGAGACGGGGAAGAACGAAAAAAGAATAAAAATCCCCAATTCTCCCGCTGCGTTTTGTGCTAAAGAAATGTGATTTCCAGCTCAGAGCAGGCTCGTGTCTCTCCCACCACCCCCAGCCAACGCCAGGTTTATTTTAATCTTTCATTTTCCTTCATTGCCTGATTTTTTTATTTTTTTTTCCTCCCTAATTTTTATTTTTTTTTTTTCCGCGGCACTTTGGGTGCGCCGGGCGCGCGTTACAGCTCTATTTAACATCTTTATGTGGGCTCACAGCTCGGCTGCTCTCTCCTTGCCCGCGCTGAAATGCTCACAGACACAATTTATCTTCCTGCGCACATTTCCAAACGCCGAGAGCCAGAGGCTGAGTCTGGCGCTCGGGCTCTAAATCATGTCATTTTACACGGCGAGGGGAAGAGAGGGGGGAGAGCAGGGGGGCAGAGCGGGGGGGAAAAATGGAAAAAAAATGGAATGAGTTAAAGCCGCAGCGCTGGCTTTAATATTTAATCTCCTTCCATCAGCAGCTGACATGCAGCAGGGTTATTTCAGCTGCTATTCCGCGGGTGTCGGAATTAAAGAGAAGCTGTTGGCTGTAAAGGCTGCGGGCCCAGGGGCAGCAGCGGGGTGAAGGCGCTGCCAGCCCGCCTGGGGCTTTCCCGGGGCCGGAGCCGCCTCCTGCAGCCACAAATTTGGATTTTTTCCCTCTCTGGGTGGGTTGGATAAACCCGAAATTTGGGTTTTTCCCTCCCCGGGTGGGTTGTGCAAACACTAAATTTGGATTTTTCCCTCCCCAGCGGGGTTGGGGAGGGTTGGACAGACCCCAAATTTGGATTTTTCCCTCCCCGGGCGGGTTGGGGTGGGTTGGACAAACCCCAGATTTGTTTTTTTCCCCTCCCCAGCAGGGCTTGACTGAGCCGGGGGCACCCCGGCGGCTCCAGGGATAAATGAGCTCATTCCAAACCCTAAATTACAGCAGGCAGGGGCTGGAGCCCGGAGCCGGGCAGGCAGGGGGGGAATAACGGGATAACGGGATGGGATGGGATGGGATGGGATGGGATGGGATGGGATCAATGGGATAATGGGATGGATGGGATTTTATTTCTCAGAGGTTTCACAAGCACAGCACGGGGAACGAGGCTTGGAGCGCTCGGGGCTTTTTCCTGAATTTTGGGGAAGCCGAGTTGGGTGCGGGGGCGTCAGGAGAGCCCCTGGGGGATCCCGGAGCAGGAGCTGGGTCTGAACCGGGCCAGAGCCCAGAACCGGGCCACAATTCCCGGCAGCGCCGCGTGTGGCCCCGCAGGGAGGGCTCCGAGCTCATCGCGCCGCAATTAACGAGCGCGATTAACGAGCGCAATTAATGAGCTGTCAGCGCGGCCGAGCCCGCTCCGAGCGTGACTCGGCACCGGAGCCACCCGGGCCACCGTGATGGAGTCACCCTGGCCACAGGGCCGGGGACACCCTGGCCACCGTGATGGAGTCACCCTGGCCACAGGGACACACCTGGGCCCGGGGACACAGAAGGGAACAGCCGGAGGCTGCACTGGGGACACACCTGGGCACGGGGACACACCTGGGCACGGGGACACACCTGAGCCCGGGGACACACCTGGGCACGGGGACACACCTGGGCACGGGGACACACCTGGGAACAGCCGGGCGCTGCACTGCGCTGCAGCTGAGCTCAAAGTCACCGCCTTTAAGAGCTGCCCCCCCCGGGTTTGGGTTTGACTCCCAAAGTCCAGCCTCCAGTGGCGTTCCCTGCTCGCAGGATGGCTCAGGGCGTCCCCGCGGCCACGGGGACCCCGGCGTGGCCGTCCCGGGGGGCTCAGGG